GAGAGAGAGAGAGAGAGAGAGAGAGAGAGAGAGAGAGAGAGAGAGAGAGAAAAGAGAGAAAAGAAAGAAAAGAAAAAGATAAAAAACAATAAAATCAATAAGAAAAAAATCAGCAAAACAAAAACAAAAACAAAAAGAGAAAAAAAAAGAACCAAACCTAAGGGGGAGGGGGCGCGGGACCAGAGGACAACCGATCGAGCACCGTTAGACTATGGATAACGGCTGACACGATGACTGACCGCCCCCGGGCACGGAGGTACAAACATGCCCATGCTAACACGAGCGACGCCACGGCCTCCCCCAGCAGTCCCTAAGTCATTACAGAAACTGCGACCGAAAATAATAACGAATCGCCTTTTGCTGACTCCATTTACGTATTCATGTTGGTGGTGATAATGATGATGGTGGTGGATGGTGGTGGTAGTGATGGTGATGATGATGATGATAATTCATATGAGGAAGAGGAAGGAGAACAAGAAGAAGAAGTAGAATACTAACAATGCGCGGGCCTGAGGATCCCAGAATGGGAACGAGAGATAAAATCAGAACGAGAATAACGGTTGTGTGTGTGTGTGGGGGGGGGGGAGCGGGAGATTTTATGGGAAGTTAAGGATGAATGAGTGCGAGCGAATGCACTAAGCCTACCTCTACGGAGTCGCCTGAAGCCTAATTCAACCACTAATTACCTCGATTTAAGGAGGTCAGTTCAGTTCAAATGATTTAGGAGAAAACAGGAGGACTTTTTGGCATGGCGGTGGAGCAGACTCGGTCCTATGCCTGTGGGTAGGGGTGTGGTCCAGGTGAGACAGGACGAGGAGGAGGAGGAAGAGGAGGAGGAAGAGGAGGAAGAGGAACAGGAAGTGCAAAGAACTTTCCTGAAACAAACACAAATCAGCCAAAATCTGGACCGCCTTCCTAGTCCTCCCCAAAAGACGTTTTCCTTTTTGAAAAGCGCGAGCGAGCGGAGCGTCGGCCCGGCCGCCTCTCGCGAGACCTCACCTGCATAGCTCGAAGACTGCGATGCCCCTCCGTCCAGGAGCGACACGGTCGAACACGCCGACGAGGGATATGAGCTGGAGCCGTTGGCTTGCGGCGTGTGGGCAGGGTGCGGGTGGTTGCGGGCGGCCGCAGGTACTGACCAATGTCTCGTCCGAGTGGGAACGTCCCGCGGGACGCTCCGCAATATTCGAATATCTAGATCGCGGTGGCCCGCGAAGGAGTGCATCACTGTGGAGGAAATGTGAATGGTCGGGTGCGAGGACTGCGGCTCGCTCAGCGACCGCACCAGCTGGCTGCGCCCGTCGCCGCCCTGGCCGCCCGCGCCGCCGGGCTCGTCCTCCGACGACGACGAGCA